TCGCGTATCTAGTATTCTAGATACATACTAATCACACTAGATTTTTGCTAGTGTTATTGAAACAACTCCATTATTTGCTATATTTGATTTGAAAAAATCTTCTCATTTTCTTGATGTTATAGAATTTAAGTTTTAAAAGGAAAAAAATAAAAGAAGGGCTAGCCCGCCCTAGCCTGTGACCCTTCTAGGGTTGAGTGGGGTTGAACATTTTTCAGGTCCTTTCAAATAAAAGACCGACCTGTCTTAACCCATCAAATTTCTTGACCCTCGAGGCTTGGGCTGGGTGGAGTTGGACTGACCCTTTTTGACAACTTCAACTGTAAAGGGTTGGTGAGGGATGAATTCTATTTTTAAAAAATTCTTTTTACCATTTGTTTTGCAATTAAATATATAATCATAAATATTCTCTTTTTCATTTTTACTGTCACTTTGTAATTTTTTATTAAAAAAGTTGACGTATAGGGTTCAGACTCTTTATTTTTTACTAAAAATAAAAATAGGGATATCTTTTAAATTAAATTAGAGTATTGATAAGAAAGAATTTTTAAACAAAAATATCAAATTATTAACTGCATGACATTTTTAGACCAAACTATTGATCAAAACAATTTTATTCAATTTGGCATAGTTTAAAACTATTTTTTAAAAAACCTTTTTTACTATTTTCTTTTAGAATTTGAATATACTTTTATAATATGATTTATACCCTCAATTTTTTACAACTAATAAAATTATCCAATTTAATTAATTTACATAAAATATATACCAACATGAAGATCCCTCGGGTATTGGCTTCCAACTGTAATGTGACAAAGAAGAAACACACATGAAAGCTTCTAACAAATATCTTTGTGCGTATTTGAAATATCGTCTAGGTATCAGTATCACTGTCAATATAGGTCAGATAATCCATTTTTTAAGATAATAAAAATAACTCATTTTACAGTTAAATGAATAATTTTAAATAGAAGTGAAAGAAATGAGCGGCATACATAATTTATTTTATCTTTTCATGTCCATATTCCTACTATAAGTTTTCTTTGAGCTTTAAATTTAAATTTTAGGGTCAATCATATCGTTTAAAAATATTAAAAACTGCCAAATACTCTCTTGGTTAACTTTTACTATATTTACTACATTACAAATATTTTTTTACTTTTACTTCTCGCATTTCATATATAAAGAATATTTTTTATATTTTACTTTTAATATTAATTATTTACTTCTAAAAATAATAATTAAAAGACCTAAAATTTATATGAATATTATGATTAAAAAAATATATTAATCATTAATTTAAGATGTATACAAAATTTAAAGCAAATAATAAAATAAACGAAGTACAAAATATATCTGATATTAAATCATAATATGAAATCATGAGATGAAATTGAAGTTTTGTTTGGACATGCGATATGGAATTTTTGTGTTGTATATTTTCTCATAAACATAAAAATCTCATAAGTTGTAAAACTATTAAAATAACCCCAATTGTTTATTCAATCTTACCAAATAAACAAAAGATTTTAAAATCGCATAATAAATTATTACAAAGTTATTTGTTCTCCACTTAAGTAATTGTTTCATCTAACTTTAATTGATCAAACTTTAATTCAATAAAAAAAAATTGAACATAAATTGTAGTTTACTAGTCTTTAATATAATCCTCCCACATAGTACCGACAATCTCCTCACGTTGAACTTACATTTCTTGATCATATGACCGAGAAGACAAACCAACATTGTTACTTTAAGTCATTTGTTGGTCAATATCATTCGCATCTATATTTTCATTCTCATAGACCATAAATATTTCATCACTCCTTTGGTATTCTCGCAAATAATTATGTAACATTGTACAAGCTATAACAATTTTCACTAGTGTGTCAATATCATAATAGTTCATACCTTGTTTCACTTGTGTGCAATTACGCATTTTCAATGCATTAATTTCGTGCTAAAATCAAACATATTAAAAGTAGTGATTATCAAACATACATCACCTATTTTGTCCTTTTTCATATTAAATTGCTTTAAACATTTTCATATGTAGCCGAAAGAGAAGGTTTTTTTATTATGAAAAACCAAATAAAAGTATTACTCTCTCTGTTCTTATTTATATTCACCAAATCAATTTCTACTTTATCATTTATATTCACCAAATTTAAGGTAATAATAAATTTTATGTTTGTGAGAATAACAATTTTTGAAAAGTAATGTGTGATTATAAATTTTATTTACATATGAAATAAATGGTTAGTAAATATAAATGTGAGGTTGTTTTAACAAAATATAAACTTGTGGATCAATTTTTATATTTAAAAAATTTTAAATCATGAGATGGAATTCTCAAATCATGCTTTTTGGAGAATATGAATTCCATGTCATGATATGAAATCATGAGATGAAATCACATGTCCAAAAGCCATATATGCTACCAAACTAAACTCGGCGTACATTAGTATTCTTATAGAATTGATTAAAAAAAAGCTTATTTTATCTTTCAAGCATTAACGAATAAAGGACTTACTTGCCATATGCTACCAAAATTTTCCTCTCTATATCAATAGACAAGTTGTCTCCTATTTTTTATCACTCTCCAAAAAATGAGCTCCTCTAATTGCAAGATCATTTACATATGTAGAGAACCCAAAGATACATTTCTTTCTTGGTGGCATTTCACACAAAAGATCGAAGCTAAATTAAGTACTAAAGTACCCCTAGCTACACTGGTTGGGGAATCCATGGTCAAGTGGTTTTGCCAAGGAAAATCTGGATGTGGACCTTACCTTGATCACGTGTTGGGATATTGAAAAGCAAGTGTTGAGAGACCCGAGAGAGTGTGCTTCTTCAAGTACGAAGATTTGAAGAAAGACACATTGGGTTATGTGAAAAAGTTGGCTGATTTCATGGACAAACCCTTCTCTAAGGAGGAAGAAGAGCAAGGTGTGCCTCAAGAAATTGTGGCACGTTGTGACTTCGAAAGTTTGAGTAATTTAGAGGTGAATAAATTGCATGAGATACGGCCGGGACCCACATTTGTGGACCTCGAGGGATGCCTAACACCTTCCCCTCGAGGTAATTTGAACCCTTACCCTGATCTCTGGTTCGTTGACCTTAGTTAAATTTAGCTAGGTTAGATAGGTGCCCTAACGCGCCTTAATTCGTTAGGTGGCGACTCTTCAATCCTCCAAAGCCCAAAAGAGTTGTTAGGTCGTGCATCCGAAAGGAAAGTCCGTTTTGCGAAAAAAGGAGCGCGACATAGGGGTATATATGAGCCACTTTCATAACGAGGGGTATATCAGTTCTAAATGGCAAAGTTGAGAGGTATATCAAACTCTTTTCCCTTTGTTTTTAACCGTTAAGTTTTTTATAAATCTTTTTAATCATTTTGAATTATCAATTATTGTGACTTATAATACTTTTTACGTAGTTTCTAAATATATAAATTTTTTAAAAAAAAAACCCTGAAGAATCCACCTGCAAATTACCGATCAAACTTAAATTTTTTGACTCTCGAAAAATGAAAATATCATATAAATTGAAACTGAAAGTATTGCGTTTGAGATATCTAGTTGATAATCTCCGTAAATGGGATCGTTTGGTATCATATATTAACAAATATATAAGGTAGATATTAGTTTTGTATATTAATACATTATTTTTTATTTAATAGACTTTTTCATGTTATGTATAAAAATCGAAGCTGAAAGTAGTAAAGTATCTATAGCTACACTCGATGAGGAATCAATGGTCAAGTTGTTTGGACATGCTATATGAAATTATGATATGAAATAAAATAATTGATAAGTGAAGATTTTCTTGAATTTGTAATTTAAATTTCTTGAAATTTTCACAAGTTATGAATACTATCAAAATATCTTCAATATGTATAATCTTACAAAATGAGCAAGAGCAAATCATAATTCATAAACAAAATATTGAAATATTCTAGTTTACCGCTCTTCTTTCTCGCTAGTCTCTCGTATTTATAATACTGAAATAGCAAATTTTAAAAAATAAAATGTAGTACTGTAAAAAGTTTTAAAAAGGAGATGCAAAAATGTAAAAGTGAAAAATTAATTTAAAAATAATTGACAAGTAAAGCGAATGGAAGAAGTATTATGAACTAGAAAAAGTAAAATTACCAGGTCACCCACACAGTACAACAAAATTACCCCGCACCCCATTCTCTTTTCATCTGTATATTGACATTGTAAGGATTCACATGCATGTGTTGTGTGAGCTTGTTTTCTCTTTCTAATTTTTGTCCTTTTCTTTTTAAATATATAAATATAATAGTAACTATTTGTGTTTAGATTAATAAAAATATAAAATATTGATTAATTATAAATTAAATTATATAACAAAAAAGTTGCTAAGAAAAATGTTTGGAAAATTTACGTAAATAGATATTTTATTTTATCATAATCTTAAAAAATTTCTATCATTTTAAAAAGTTACAAAAATCCCTCTAGAATATATTCCTATCCTCTCTCGGACACATCTCTATCACCCCTCTCTCGAATATATCTCTCCTCTCTCAGATACATGCGTAAGCTATATATCCACGGGTTTCGTAAATAGCAATGTATTACTCTACTTATACATTTACATGTCTTGCCAGTAATTTTTACTTTTTTAGTATGACCCAACTAATCAATTAAACAATCTCTACAGTCTATGATTTGACTAAAATTGAATGATGCGCTCATACCAATTCCATAGGAATAAAATATGTTGGTAATACTAATTATTTTTAGAATTGATTAAAAAAATAACTTTTTATTAATGAGTAAAGGACTTACTTGCAATACACTGACAAATTTCTCCTCTTTTATATCAATAAAATAAAATAAAGAAGAAGTCTCCTATTTTTATTATCATTATAACATCATTTTAGCAGTCTCCAAAATATGAGTTTCTCTTCCAAAGTAGGCCGCTTATGTGGAAATTATGGATCAGAAAATTTCAATGAAATGCGAAAAAAATATAAAGAGATGATATCAACTCTTTGCAGCTGTACTTCTCGCCGGCTGCTGATGTCTGCTCGCTGTTCGCTGGGCTGTAGCAGCGAGAAGAGGGCGGAAGAAGGGGCGACTGCCCTTGTGGTTTCGCCGGTGGAGAGAAAAAGAGAAAGAGAAGGCAACGCTGGCTGCTGGCCGCAACTGCTGTTGGTGTCGTCGATCGGAGCAGAAGAGAGGAAAAGAGAGAGAGGGAGAGGAAGAGTATCAACAATCTTTAGGGGTTTGGTCCTTTAGGTTAGAAATAGGAAGGTTATGCTTGGATAAATATGGACCGTTGATTTAAGGGGCTTGAACGGGTAAGATCTGATCTTATGGATTAAATGAGGAAAGAATGGTGGAGATTAAGGGATGGGATCTTTAAAACTTGGATCATATGGGCTATAAATTAAATAAGATTTGAATTGATTAGAATTGAAATGGCTAAATTGGGAATAAGAGTTGAATAGAGTAGGCTATGAATTAAAGAGATTGAGATTAAATAGGCTAAGCCTTAAATGATTTAAGGGAAGATCAAGAAAATGCTATTCGATTAATAAAATACTATATATTAAAATATTTTCATATAAATTAAACACATCTACATTCTAAAACATTTAAATAAAGTAATTGTTTCGAATATAATAATTTAATAATAATTACAACAATTTTTTTAAAATTATGCATACTAAAATATATAATTTTGCACAAAAATAGATTAAATTTTAAACCCAAAATATATTTTTAAAATACGTATTTAATTTAATAGCATTCCTGAAAGAGTTATAGGTCAGTCAAAATTGGGTGTCAACAGTCCCCGTTGGTCTAAAAATACTATTTCATTCACATTTTTGACTCATTTATACCCTTGAAACTAACATCCCTTTCTTTATTTTATTTTTAAAAGTATATTTATTATGTATCATTTTCTTATTAGATGAAATAAATTTCCCAACTCTCCTAGATTTTTTCCTATAATTTATCAGAACTAAAGTAATATACTTCTTGAAGACCTCAAATTTTTTTTTTAGAAAAAACTCTAGTAGAATAGTTTTTTTGTATTTGCTCTAGGTTTTTTTTTTTTGTGTGTGTGGGAGGTGAAGGTGGAGAAAGGCGGATTTTCACGAAGAAAGAGATTGTTTTACTTGATTAATTATGATTTTTTAAAAAAACTAGTAATTTTTTGTATTTGCTCTAGGTTTTTTTTTTTTGTGTGTGTGGGAGGTGGAGGTGGAGAAAGGCGGATTTTCACGAAGAAAGAGATTGTTTTACTTGATTAATTATGATTTTTTAAAAAAACTAGTAATTTTTTGTATTTGCTATAGCTTTTTCTTTTTATTTTTTTAGGATCATGAAAAAAATATATTATTTTGGGACGAAGCGGCAATCCACTAATAATTGTTGGCAAATCTGAGACCCTCAAAACTTAAAAGAGGCATGAAATACGCACTTGTTAGGAGTAATTGTTTTCTTCAATCACAATTCATATACACGATCTTGTGTAGTGGCATTTTTTGAATCTATATGCGGTACCATTTTTTTTTTAGTTCGTCCTTACAATCATTAGAAATAATTTAATTTTAAAATTCTTCTTTTACTAATTTACAACCACTCAAATATCGAATGATTATTCTGATCACATATTTTAAAAAATTTACATTTTTCTTAAATATCATGTCAAGTCAAACAATGCCACATAAAATGAGACGGAGGAAATAGTATTATATTCAAATTTATGCAAGATACAGAGATGTACATTTAATAGGCGTCATGAAAGTATGCGCATTTGAATATATTTAGGACAGGTACTGAATACACAACATTTATATTAATATATAATCAATGGTCTCATTAAATCTCAAGGCCAAATTATTGACCAAATTCAGAGGATCATACATCTTCTTACTCAAGGAAAGATTCCATGTGCAATATGTTATATAAAAATGACATTTGAAGTTGCTTAAAAGTGGCATAGAATGAGATCTAGCTATTTGTTTTCTTAAATTGATGACAAAAATTACTATAATTATTATAAGTATTGCATAATTGCTATTAATTAGTAATTATATTGGATTAAATATGTCCTTAATATAATTAAATTGAACCTTTCCAGGTAATGGTATCTCAAGACATCAAGGCTCCAATCCATCATAGCCTTGTTCATTAGATCCAACGATAATTAACTAATATTAGTAAGATTTTAACACTCTATATTAATGTTCATATTTATTGCCGTTAAGAAACTGATTTTGATTTATTGAATGAGCCTCCCTTTTCACGTGGGAATCATCCTATATGATGTATGTTAGGTCTCTAACTTAGATCTCACCAATTGCTAAGCATAGCACTAGCTTATGGTGCTCCACTGTGTTTTGCTATAGGAGGTAATTAAGGCCTATGTCCTCCCTTTTTCGTGTGGGAATCATCCTACATATTTCTCTGTGTAGGTTCAGTTTCCAAACAAGTTTATTGTGCACATTTTGATTAATTCTACGGGATATATACTTGCCTAACGATCCATTTTTATCGTTATAGAGAAGTCAATGGGAATGTTTTTTGTTTGGAAAACTTTTCGTAGTACCTTTAGACTTCCCAATCTAGTCCAGATTTGGACGTAATCGGAGTCAGTAAGGTCTAGAGAAATCTAGTAGCAAATGAGAGATCTAATTATGATTTTGATCACATGACTAAATAGCTAAGACGTTAAGGAATCCGTACGACTTTACGGAATTGAATTATGATTTTTTGTGTGTGTGGGAGGTGGAGGTGGAGAAAGGCGGATTTTCACGAAGAAAGAGATTGTTTTACTTGATTAATTATGAATTTTTTTAAAACTAAATTAAAAAATAACTAGTATTTTTTTGTATTTGCTATAGCTTTTTCTTTTTATTGTTTTTACGATCATGAAAAAGATATATTATTTTGGCTTGTATAAAAAATCTAAAAAAACTTTAAAGTAAATATAATTTTTTTTGTACTTGGTGTAAATTAATGTTATGGTAAAAATAAAGAAAACTATTTAAAATTCATTAAATGAAAATTGAAGAAAGCCAATACGGTATTAACAAATCACATTGATTCTTACAAGATTGATTTTTTTTTTGTCTAAATGGAATATTAGTATGTGCAGCAATCTTTTAAAATTATCGAAATATGTTTTATTGTAACTTTACATTTTTTGAAAAAACTTCTTTTTAGATTTTTCTCCATAGTTGATCCCATTCGAAATAATATACTTGCTTCGTGTTCTCCAAAAAAAAAAAAAAAAA